TAAAACGATTTTTTTCTCCGCGAGATCGCGCTCGTTACGTTGCGGCGACCTAACCTAACAGCTCACAGGATTCGAGCACGAATAATAATAATAATAATATTATTATTATTGCGATCTCTATTGTCCATGACGGAGCGGTTTGACGCTGTTCGAAGCGTAAACATTCGGCCGGCAAAGAGGGCCAGTAATACAGGGTGTCCCAAAAATGTTTCGCAATCCGAAAGTGGCGGGTTCCTCGGGTCGTTCGAAGCAACTTTTTCCTTTACAAAAATGTTCTCCGAGGCGCCGTTAACGAGTTATCAACGAAAAACAGTGACCAATGAGAGGCGAGCTCGGCTGGCGCGCGGCGACCGAGCCAATGGGCGGAACTGGGCTTCGCGCGCCGGTTGGCCGGGCCGCCTCGCGTCAGCCGTACTCGATTCTTATTGGTCGCTGTTTTTCGTTGATAACTCGTTAACGGTGCCTCGGAGAACATTTTCGTAAACGAAGAAGTTGCTTCGAATGATCCGAGGAACCCGCCGTTTCCGGATTGCGAGACATTTTTGGGACAGCCTGTAGTACGAAACGAACGGTAGAAACGAAGAAGAGAAGCAGGAGGACAAGATGAATAAATGGAGTTTCACCGTTCGCGCCTAAAACGAAGCGAACGACGAAGGAGAGAAGCGAGAGCGTGGCATGATGACGGAGGTCAGTGAGTCATAAAGGCTGTTATTAAACCTAATCCGATAATGTTGGTGTAAAGCCACCTGGTAGCGAGCGTGCGAAACGTTTGCCAAGCGTGCGAACAAAAGATCTGTCAACGATCCGGCTGAAATCTCTCTCTCTCTCTCTCTCTCTCTCTCTCTCTCTCTCTCTCTCTCTCGCTCTCGGAGAAAAGTGTCGCCGGTGTAAATATTCGGTTTATTTGTGTATTGCGGTGAGAGCAATTTTTCCGAAGAAGTCCTATTCACGGTACACGGATAGATACTGTAGAAGCTAATTTTAGGTTACCGAGAATAATAATAATAATAATAATAATAACCTATCGTTCGTGCGGCTCTTTCAGTCTTTACTATACACGCGCGGCTAAAGATCCCTTTCTCCACCCTACGACAATGTAAGTATTATACACGTATTGTGCGCTGTTCTCGCGTCATTGGGCGGGCCGCCATTGTACCACGTGACTTATACGCGAGGCATGCAGTTATATTGTAGTTGTAAAAATTCGTTGTCGTGATTGAAGGGTCTAGAAAAGATTTATGAACGACTAAAATATAATAATATAATATAATAATATAATATTATAATATAATAATATAATAATATAATAATATAATAATATAATAATAT